GGGACTGCTCTTATAAGTAGCTAGCCTATAGYATAGTCGATTACTATAATAATGTACTTRTTTCTATTAAGAGTAATAGGAAGAGGGCCTACTATATCGATCGCCTATCGTTTAAATAGCTTAAGGGTACGATCGTTTTAGTAGAAGTATAGTTCTTAGGCGGCCGTCCCTAATCGAGGCTTTTTGCGAGTAACTTAATACTAGGGGCAGTTCCTTATATAGTCCTCGACATCTCTCTTAAGAGACTACTACTATCCTCTTATACGGAGGATGCTATTTACTCCTAGGATGCTAAAGTAGCTATAGTCCTTATAGCAACGCTCTAAGAAATCCCACCTAAACTTAGGGTCGATATATAGTGTCTTAGTCCCTAGTTTATTCTTATAGTATAGCAACCTATCCTTAAGTTCTAAGCTAGGCGACTTATCTRCTACTAGCTTACTTAACTTAGGGTCGACGGGCATTTCGCCTATCTCCTTAAAGAGGATTACTATATTAATTACCTTACGCTTAGAGAACTTACGGATAATAGTACCTCTAGTAGTATTAAGGCGGAAGGCTTAAGATAGGGCAGTTAGGAAGTCTGCTACCTTAAGGGATTAATCTCCCCGCTAGGAAGATCCTTTACTAGCTAAGTTAGCTAGCCCTTCTCCTATTAAGTTAGGGCGACGAGAGATTACATCCGGTATAATCGCCTCGCTGCCCTTACGGTACCTAATGTTAATATTATATACTTAGAATTCTTCGATCTATCGTATAAGACGCTTAGTAGGCGTCTTAGAGGTTTTAAGGTATTATAAGCTATAGTAATCTATAATTACTTAGGTAGTATAACTATTCTTAATATAGTAGTACTAGCGGCGTAAGGCGTCCTTAATCGCGAGAAGTTCCTTCTCGTAGATAGGGTAGTTAAGTTCCGCTACTTAGAGCTTGCGACCGTTAAAAGCGACCGGATAGAGTTTCCTATCGTCCCTAAGCTAGTATAGCACTACCCTAATAGCCTACTTACTTATATTAGTTTTAATAATAAAGGGCTTACTTAGGTTAGGGAGTGCTAGTACTAGGTAGCTGCATAATGCCTTCTTAAGGGCTTCGAAGGAGATAGAGCATTATACATTCTACTTAATTAGGCGTTTCTTCTTAGTACGCAGGGTAAGGTTACTCTCCTTAAGGAGATCGCTTAATAGTGCAGCTATCCTTGCGAAGTCTCTAATATACTTGCGGTAGAAAGATGCTAGCCTAGTAAACTATCTTACTTCTTAAGCGTTCCTTAGGATTAGCTAATTACGGATAGAGGCAATCTTGTCCTCTATAGGTCTTACTTAGTTATAGGAAACGTAATACCTATAGAACTCGAACTCTTAGACTCTAATAGAGCACTTCTTAGAGGATATAAAGAGCTCCTAGGCCCGAAGGGCATCTAACACCCGTTTTAAGTGCTATTCGTATTCCTTAAGTGTTTTAGAGTATACGATAATATCGTCTAAGTACACTATAACGCTTTTATATAGCTAGTTAGCTAGAACATCGTTTATTAAGGACTAAAAGCTTAAAGGGGCGTTATATAGCCTAAAAGGCATTACCTTGTACTCGTATTTACCTTAACGAGTATTAAAGGCTATCTTCTATCTATCTTCTTCCTTAACTCGTATTTGCTAGAAGCCTAAAGTTAAGTCGATCTTGCTAAAGTATCTAGCTCCTTAAAAAGCGTTTAAGCAATCGTTAATACGAGGGAAAGGGAAGCGGTCCTTAATAGTTGCATTATTTAAGGCCCGATAATCGATATACATTCGCTATTTCCCTTCTAGCTTAGGTACTAGTAATACTAGGCTACTCTAAGCTAAGTAGGAGCGAGCGATTAAGCTACGGATAAGAAGCTCCTTAATCTACTTCTCTTACTCTATTATCTGTACTTAAGATAGTTAGTATAGCTATTAATTTACTAGCTTGTAGTCGCCTATATCGATAGAGTGCTCTATTACTCTCTTTATAGGTAGCTTAGCTAGTAATAATAAGCGGAAGAGGTCTAAGTTAGTATTAATAAGCCGTTAGAGAGAGGCTTCCTTACTTAAGGGG